TTTATTACTAGTCTATTGCATAATCCTATAGAATTTAAAGCAGTGAAAATCTGGTACCATAGTTTTATCGATAAATTTACAGAAAATTGTCATTTCGCAGCGCAGAAAAAGTCTGCGTACAAGTAGTAAAATGAGAATTCTACGTAAAAACCTAAAGTAAAAGTGTCGGAAAGTTATAGTTTTACTTGTTTTCGTAAAAGTAGCAATTTTAAATGATGTTGGTTTTCTTCAGTTTGTTATTCAATTTAGAACATCAAATCTCGCCTAAAAGAAAACAAAGGGATCCTCTGAAAGGAAATGAAAGGGAAATAAAGGTTAAACTTTTGGAAGAAGGAAAAACATACGGTGAAATCAGTCGAATTGTTGGAAGAACACATTCTTCCATAAAAATAATAATAAAAAAATTAAAATATGCCGGCGTTTTTATATCTCAGCTTACCGCACAAACTTACTTACTGCAACAAAATTTTAAGAAAACTTTGAGGAATCCCTCAAATGCCGAAAAACGAGCAAATCACTCGATAAGAAAATCTTGTTGTATAGTGTGAAGCACGTTGGTGAAGAAGTAATGATATGGGGTGCATAGTTAGTAATGGAGTGAGCCAAATGGAATTTATAGAGTCCACCATGGTTAAATATGCATACCTTAATAACTTTAAAATTAATTTGAAGTAAACAGCAGAATAATTGGGTCTTGGAAGTGACTACTATTCTACAGGATAACAACCCGAAGCGTACAGCGTAGAGTTAGTTAAGCTTTGGTACTACAACGTTTCCAAGCAGCTTCAAACACCACCAGAATCATCAGATTTGAATTCTAAACAGCACCTATGGAATTCACTGGAACGTAAAATCCACCAACGCACTATTACCTTAAAGGATATGCTCAAGGATGTGTTGAACGAGGAATGGGCTGACATAACTTCGACAGAAACCTCTGAGCTTGTCTACTTCAAACCAAAACCTATTTAATTTATGTAAAATTTTAAGAGGAATTAGGTGGAAGAATATCTTTGCTCGACTTATGTACCCTGAACGCAGAATTTTTCTAATGGATTTTTAATTCGTCGGGATTTTTTGCTTTGTTTATATGTTATTGTCGGAAAGTTAATCACTTTTATTTTCATAAAACCACATATTTAATGTCCTTTAATGAATATCAAATAAAGTGGTTTTTATAAAAAGTATATACAATTTTTTTTTCTAACGATTTATTTTTGTTGATACCTTGTACGTAGACTTTTTCTGCCTAGTGTATATGCAGCAATTGCGTTCACATATTTAGAGATCGTTGCTTACATTTTTAAAATGTTAAGTTGAGAAGTGTGTATTTTTTATTTTTTTTTATATTGTATAATCTACCAGATATAACATGCAATTTCATATTCCTAAATTCACACAAAATTTTGTTATCTGAAAAAAAATATGTTTGAAGTTCTTGTATGTATTTTACAACTTCGAGAACTGGCGGAGGTTTTGAAGGATCATCTTCTTTCATTTGCTCCTAAACATCAGCACCACCATGCCGAAAACACATGTGCAGATTTTGGCATGCTTCAGAAAAATGTGTGCTGATTTGACATTTGTTGTTCTACACATGCGAAATTTGAGTTTTTCTGTGCAGAATCAATGCTGACAACATAAAAACAATATTTCGGTGTGCTAAGTCTGGCACCAATATCAGCTGTTGATTGATAAATCAAAAAAAAAATTATAAAAATAGTTATTACCGTGATTAAAAACTTCAGTTATTTTTTAATTGTATACCTTCAGTAATCATCTGCTCGTCAGAAATTATTGTACATGTATTCTCGACTCTTTTGCAAGCAGGAAATCGATGAACCCAATTTTCTAGTACTTTTTCCACTAAATCAAGTCGTATGTCCTGAAAAGCACGTTCAATATTGACTTCTAAAGCTTGAAGAGAGTCAGGATTATTGCAAAAGACCAATGACTTCAAATAACCCTAGAATAAGTTGTCTAATGATGTTAAAACACAACTTCTTGGAGGTCATTCAATGTCCCAAATTCTTGAAATTATCGAATCTTCAAACTTTTCTCGCAATAATTCGGTGGTTGCACGTGCTGTGTAGCACGTAGCCTCATCTTGTTCGAACCAGATTATGCAAAGATAAACATCTTCCAATTGCGGCCATAAAAAGTTGGTTCTCATAGTTCTACAAGTATATCGCTCTCTATTGACAGTAACGCTGTCACCAGCTTCATTTCGAAAGAAGTACGGACCAATGATTTCACTAGAACAAAATTCACACCAAACTGTCAAGTTAGGGGAATGTAATGGTTGTTCATGAATAATATGTAGATTTTCTTCGCACCAGAATCGGGAGTTTTGTTTATTTCCGGCACCACTCAGACGACCATAAAATGTCAAAGCACACGAAAAGTTTCAATTGGAGAACGATTATTTTAATAACAAAATTGAATAATTTGAGAACGTGGTTCTTTCGTATATCTTTCCAAGATGAAATTGTAAACATTACTGAATACAATAAAAAAAATTTAAGATGATGACACATTAAAAATGGCCGAAACGACGTTTAGAAATCATATCATGTCTATTGGAAAGCCCGAAATTTTAGGAATTTCAATTATTTTGCAGAGATGCTAACTGCGGCGTAGCACAAATACTGCAAAATATGTACATATGTATGTGCGGCAATGCCGGATTATTTTTTTTAAGGAAAGGTTTTTGCGCAATTAAGCTGGGGAAATTAAAGGTACATATATTTTTTTTGCTTAACACATGTATTTAACTAATTATGTGGGAAAACCAATTAACCGAGTTCAATGGAGTGGCTAATTTTACACGTACTTTGTATGAAATATATTTTTGACCAATCAAGTTATTCAAATAAGCGAAAAAATCAATTAATCGGGCGATATTGTATTATGGGTTATAGACTTACTTAGTTTTATTGCTATATTTTTTCGTGTCAGCGATAATTATATTAAAACAATTAATGAATAATCCTCAAAAGAAATATATGTGATATAATCTCAACCGAAGAGGCATTAATATATTACGAATATGAGGAAAAATCAACCAGTTAAACGGAAGTTATTATAAAGGGAATAAAAGGGAACCACGGTCTAGACGAAATTCATTTATATTTAGCACTAGAGCACATTATGTTTATGGAAACTTGAAATATTGGATATATTGACCAACATAAACGTCTTACAGTCAGCTGGAAAGTCGAAAGGTCTGGACGGAAGGCGTTAACTTTTGGCATTGCTCAAGTATATTCTGGAATATATATACGATATAAAGTCAATATGAAGTATATGAGGGCTAGGGTATGTTTAGATCCGATTTTACGCATATTTGGCACAAGGGCACACTATTATCAGAAAATTATTTTCTCTAAATTCTATATATATTAAGGAAAATATCAGTTACAGGCATTGAAGTCAACATATACGGTATCTGTTATGGACCGATTCCGAAAATTTTTAGACGTAACGTGCCATGGTCAAGAGACACCGTTTGTTTATATGGGAAGTGGTCGGGATTACCATCCGAGTTTTCCTATTTCCACACTATAGTAGAAGGGTGTTTGGAAGATATGAATATTAAAACTTTAAAGAGATGGAACAACTTCCACTTTTTAAAGAGTTTCAAACCACAAGTGCCCTCCTAAAACGATTTGCTTTGCCAGACTCTAGTCGCCCGCACTATAACATACAATTATGAAAGGAATCTTATGTACCGAATTTGGTTGAAATCGGTTTAGCAGATCCCAAAGTATGGGTTTTTACCTAAAAGTGGGCGGTGCCACTCCCACTGTCCAATTTTGAACGCGGTTCCTATAAAGTCATCTCATACCATCCCAGGGATACAATTAAGTGTCTTTTACGCTTTATCGCGCTCTTAGTAGTTTTTAACAGTACCGTTATCTGGGTAGTGGGCCGGGTTGTCTCCCGATTTCATCTATTTTCACACTGTCTATAGAGGTTTGTTCTTAGTGAACTTTTAAACTGCAGATGCCCCTCCATAATGTGATTCTGTGTAATAACAGTCTTGTATCTTAATGTGTATCTTATGGCATTTAATATGTTTTTGATTAATGGCGATTTGTGAACGTTGCAGTAGTCCGATTACTTCCATCTGTAATCCCAACTGTTTTACGGTACCAAGAAATATGTGTACCAAATTTCATAAATATATCTCAATTTTTACTCAAGTTACACCTTACACAGACGGACGGAGCAACAGACAGTCAATTGGATAATTCACAGCTGCATTGTCATCGTAGACAGCATCGATAAACTTGTATGACACCAAGTCCCCTGGCAACAATTATTATATCTTTGAGTTTAATTCATTGACTTCTACATTTTTTGTTGCCATAATCAGAACAATTGACCCATTCAAGACTGTTTTAATTACCTATGCAATGCCATCCAATAAAGTTGCTCAATGCCATTTGTTGATCGCATCTCAGCAAGAAGTAGCGAAATAAGGAATTTTTGCCAGTTCCACCTGGAACCTCAAAAAAAAAATTTCCCTTGCCTTGTCGAAACTGCCAGCAAAATGCGGTTGTAAATTGCTTGCACTTCGATTTCGTGAACTCATACATTTCTGTATGACTGATTGGCGAATTCCCACCTTGTACAATGTCGGTACAATATATCATCAGTCATCGAATCTTTCTGATCGGGACGGGAAACATGTCGTCGGTATTATAGCAAATAGTAGACGAATTTGTGTTCCTGTGTGGTATTATCCTGCCCATTAAGCATACTGTCCCAATGATCGTCATCTTCTAGCAAGCTTAGTGCAAAGTATGCATCTTTATACGTCTTATCTTTATACTGTTGTCCATTTACTTTAAATCTTTAAATTACAACATTAGTGTTCGTTTTCCTATTGTATGTATTTTGAAACCAGAAATGGAAGATGAAAAAATGAGCTATTATTATAAAATAAATAAAAAATATTTATGCTTCAATTATATCATATTTATATTTTGTTTCAGGTATGGGAATTTCACAGGAACATACAACAGCAGCTACTTTACATGCAGCAAAAATTGTGCAGTTAAACGCTCTTGGACATAAATTCGAGAGTTTATCACCTGCATTGGCGCAATCCCATTGCGATTTATCGAAAGAGTCCATTGCAAATGAATCATTTGGCAGCAAAAGATGTCCAATAGCAATTTTTCCTACCGAACCTATTTTAAGACAACATCTTTCAAGCGATACTTCTATTAGCGAAAACATCAAAACGTTTTCAAGCTTAATCACAAAGGATCCTCATCCTTCTGATATCGCTAAAAGTCTTATTGAAAACCAACCACCAGAAGGTGCACATAACTTAAATAAAAATAAATGTAATGATGCGGATAAAAATGAACACGGAGGAAAAAACAATTTTAATGAAAAGGAATTACTATAACAAAAGAAAAAATAAAAACGATAACATTACGTACATACAGATTTATAACTAACACGTAAAAAAGTGCGTTATAGCCTTAAATATGTATATGTTTAAATTAAATTCAGATTTCAATATATTCTTTCATTAAGTTTATATTATATAAAAGTATATCTATATTTTGTTTAGCTACTTTTTAATGTCAAACGTGACAAATAAATTAAGAGTGAAATCGAAACCTTTACTTATTATTGTGTTATTGCATACATTTTTCTTTAGGTAGGTTGGTAACTTTGCACAAATTTTTTTTCAATTATAATTTTTTCTAAATTATAATTCAATTAAATACTAATATGTAGAAATTGAAGCCGTCATGAGAGGACAGGAAAGAACAGTTTACTCCATAACTCATAGAGAGATTTAACTCTCCAACCAAAAAGGCAACGAAACTACAAGTATGTTTTTGTGACAAAGGAAAAATATAAATTTAACTTTGAGCAGACTTTGTAAATTATTTTTTTTTATATAAAAAAAATATTTCATTGAAACTGATTTTTTTCGTAAACAATTTCAAAACTCAGCCATTGAGACGTAATTTTCTCGACTGCTCGAAAAAAAGTTTCCCCGAGTTAATTTTTACTTATGTAAAAATGAGAATATAAGCAAATAATTTTACTGCATTCCTTATTAATATTCTTAAGATTGACAGATTACACATATGTTAGTGCTATTTATAGTAAAATGTGTGTACTTATTACTAGTTGATAGTTTATTACTAGTTTTATAGATATCATATTACATAAATGTGTGTGTTTGTGTACTTACTACTAGTTGAGTTTACTACATCATATTCCACAAATCATATTACATATGTATTTATGTAAGTTAACGCCACATACGCTTAAAATAACTTGCAAAGCTTTATTGCCAAAAACCTCCTGTGTGAGACTTGCACAGCAAGCAGTACCCCACGGGTAACCGACAACGGGATCAAATGACACCCCACGTGCATCCGCGCAAATGTTGAATCAACAACATCTTTGAGTACAGCGGTAATATGACTTAGGTTTAATTTAAAGTTTAAGGAACTTTTGTAAACAGTTCTAATTTCTCAATAAACTCGCGTCTCCGCGCTTGAAATAAAAAAATATTTTTTAAATTATAGATATGTAAAAAAGTATAACTTGTACAAGTTGTACAGTGCATTTCTATTGTTACAAATACTCTGCTGACAAATGCACGTACATATGTTACGATGTATTTTTATTGACGTGCCAACAGATATAGGTTGTGTCCCGCGTGGACAAAAGAACTCGCTACAAGATCATTCAAAGTGAAAAATACGTTTTAATAGAGCACATAAATTATTGGGTCGTTCACTAGGTATTTTCGTTTGATGACAACAGCTGGTCATATTGAATTATTCGCAGCCAACTTCACAATTAACCACTTTACCGTTATAGGTATATTTGAACAGCTGATATAGTAAACCTTGTTTATAAAAAAATTCCTAACATTTTTCTGGAATAGTTTTTATTTGGTGCCCTATCAAATATGCAAGATCGAAAATATCATTTTCGGCACATTTTACTGTTTTAATATCAAAAGGGTAAAAATGCAGTTCAAACAAGGCAAATATTATGCAATGTGTACGGAGAAGATGTGTTGACTGAACGCTAATGCCAAAATTAGTTTGCAAAATTGCGTTCCGGAAGTTTCGGTCATCTTCTTCCTGGATGGCCTCTTGAAGCCGAGGCGACCGTTCACAAGCACATGAAACGTCTAGGATTAATTTCAAAGCTTGATGTATGGGTTCTTCATGCTCTTACAGAACGAAATTTGCTTCGGCGCATTATCGACTGTGATTTGGTTATCAACGTCAAAGAAGTGATAAATTTTAAAAGCGCATTGTAACTAGCGACGAAAAGTGGATTGTTTACAAGAACGTAAAGCGCAGAAGATTATGGTCTAAAAAGGATGAACCATTTCAAACCACTTCGAATGCCGATAGACACCAAAAAAAGGTTATGTTGTCTGTTTGGTGGGATTTTAAAGGGATTATTTATTTTGAGCTTTTTCTCGCACGATTAATACTGAAGTGTATTGTAATCAGCTGGATAAATTGAGGGATGCGCTCAAACAGAAGAGGCCAGAATTGGTCAATAGAAAAGGTGTAGTGTTCCACCAGAATAATGCGAAACCGCATACAAGTTTAATGACTCGCCCAGAGCTTTTGCAGCTTGAATGGGATGTGCTACCACACCCACCATATTTTCCTTCATCCATTGCCTCCTTCGGACTATTACTTGTTCCCATCTCAGGACGTCAAAAGCCCCTTAGACCAGTTTTTGCAGCAAGGATCAAAAATGTTATGAGTATAGAATCAATCTCTTGCCCAAAAGGAAATGGATCTAAATGGAGAACATATAATTTCATAAAATGTTTTACACAATTAAAAAATCATGTTTAAATAATACTAAAAAAACGAAACTATTAAGTGACTCCATAGATCTAAGACAAGCAAAACAAAGCGATAATTGAATTTAGGCAGATATTTTTATAAAAAACTGAATATTTCGATGAAAAAATACTTTAAATTTTTATACTCCCGCAACATGTTCCCACAGAGTATAATAGTTTTGTTCTTTTAACAGTTATTTGTAACATCTAACAATAATCAAATGGGATATATTATACTTGTAGATTAATCTACATATATAAAAATTACGTGCCTCGTTTTGTCCGGAATAAACTCCTGAACTATTGAGCCGAGTTTAGTAAAATTTAGCATGCTGTGTCCAGTTTGACCCATTTAAAAGTTAGGATAGTTTGTATCTCAGTTATGTTGAAAGTCAAAACAATTTATAAAAAAATAAAAAATATTTCTAAACTTAAGCATGTGTCCTAAGTTCAAAAATTTTGAGTAAATTGGGCTCAAATAATTTATGAAACAATTTTCCAATCTTCTATATAAATTTGTTTTAGTAAAATGTCAAATGGAAAATTCATAATTTTTCCATCTCTCTACTATACATAAAATAACATAGGCCTACAAAAAAATATTTTCTGTTTGATGCCGCTAATTTTATGATATTATATTATATAACTTGGCCAATTGGCCTATAAGATGGCGCGTGAAGCTGTCAAAACGTTGAAGCTACGTTCAGGTTTGTATCGATCGATCATAACAATAATTGTTATCAACTAATTTCGTTTGTTAATTAAGAATACCGATATGCCGTCGTCGAGAAGGTGTTGTGTAAATAATCCACACACATTTTGTCACATTTGTGGTGAATATGTAGTGAAAAAGTTTAGAAAACCTATAACAAATTCAGTAAAGAAAACATACTTTGATTACTTTCAGATGGAGATGAAGGCTCTGTACAAACCGTGGGTTTCAAACATTGTGTGTAAGATGTGTAGTGAACATTTACGACAGTGGACAGTGGGTAGACGTCATCATTTAAAGTATAGTGCGCCAATGATTTGGGCAGAACCAAAAAATCACTTTAACGACTGTTATTTTTGTACTGTAGAATTACATGGTATAAATAAAGGAAAAATGACATATCCTGATTTAACGTCTGCTAAAAGACCTCAACTGTGTTTAGATGACGTACCATCTCCTTTCACTGAAGATATTTCAGATCCATCCCATTTATCAGATTTCTCGGATACAGAGATGCTGGAAGATTTTGTTGAGGGACAGGACAGTGATTTTGAAGTGTCAACAGCACATTTACTTTATTCTCAAGATGCTCTAAGTTATTTAATTAGAGACCTTGACCTTTCGAAAGAGCGATCTGTTGTTGTCTCAAGGTACAAAATTAACATTTTATCGTGATCGCGAAAAAAAATTTCTCCCATTTTTCAGCTCAGAAAATGATATAGTATACTGTAATAACATTGGTGGCCTAATAATGAAACTGGGCTGAAGAATGGAGATTGTTTATGGATAGCTGTAAGCGAAGTTTAAAATGTGTTTTACTACATAATGGCAATAAACATGCAGCTGTACCTATTGCTCATTCAACGAAATTGAAAGAAGAGGATCAAAATGTGGATCTTGTCTTAAAAAAACTCAATTACTCGGGGCACCAATGGGTTATATGTGTACATTTCAAAATGGTCAACTTTCTGTTAGGTCAACAAAGTGGGTACACTAAATTTCCATGCTTCATATGTTTATGGGACAGTAGAGCAAAAAAAGATAACTGGATTGAGAAAGATTGGCCTTTGAGAAACATGTCGGTTGGCAAACAAAATATTATAAACACTCCTTTAGTTTCTAGAGATACGATAAGATTACGACTTTTAATGAAAGACAACTACACATTCATTCAATGAATACGTTAGAAGCATCGGCTTGGACATCTTTTGTTGCTGTTGTAAAAAATTTTTTAGGAAATCAAAAGGCCGAAAATTACAAGGAATTAGTACTAAAACCTTTTAATTAACTTTAAAAATCTTGGTTGTAATATGAGCATTAAAGTACTCTATCTGTACAATCATTTATACAAGTTTCCTGAAAATCTGGAAGCGTATAACGAAGAACAAGGGGAACGCTTCCATAAAGATTTGAAGGTAATGGAAGATAGATACCAAGTCGCTCGGTGAACATATGATGGCAGATTACTGTTGGAGCATTGCACGAGAGTGTCCTGAAGACATCTATCGCAGGGAATCTAAAAAGAGAAGCTTCTAATTTGTAAAATAATGTCTAATTTAATGGTTTAAATTAAATGTTTTCTAGTTATTTAATAAATTAATTGAATATTTTTCAATTCATTTACCCTCGCGAAATCTTAAAAACTACACGTAGCATTAAAAAAGTAAGTATCAAATTGTTATCAGGGTACCAAATGTACTTAAAATCAGTTTTACTTTGAGCGGCACCAAAACCATTGTAGACCTCTTCTCTTCAAATGAGAAAGCTTTCCATACATGCACTCGATTCCGATCGTTCAGTTTGTATGGAAGTTATATGTTTTAGTGGTTTGATATCAGCAGATCCGACATATGAACAGCTTTTTGGTGAGACAAAGACGCATGCAAAATTTGTGGTATATATCTCAGAAACTAAAGGACTACAGACAGACATGGCCGTCAATTATATACACACATATGTACTTTGAAGAGCCTGCGACGTTTCTTTTTGGGTGTTAGACGCTTGGTGGCGAAGTTAATATACTCTGTTCAAGGTATAAAAATGTTCAAAAAGAGTTTAGCATTAATTATTTTAAAAAATCGTAAATGGATTACATCATATTTGGTATATTATTAAGTAATATTATACAAGTAGTTCACAGACTCAATTAACGATAATATTGAAATCAAGTGAAAAGCAACATACGTATGTGATAAAAACTCAACCGAAGTGGATGCATACCTTCCACAAAAAGCCTAACTTCTGCTTGAAGGGCATTACAGTGGTCTGGCAGTCTGAAAAAATGACATATCTCGGAGATATTAAGTTATTATGGATGCAAACGAAGTGCGAGGTGATTTCAAAATGTCGCACTATGAGACCCTTAATGTGTCCGGCAATTAGAGTCACCCCGTTGGTGGTCTAACCGGTAAATAAAACCTTCTGGTAAATATAACAAGATTAGTCTTATTTAAATTGACAGCTAAGCTTTTCTTTTCCGCCCAGATAGTTACTATATTTAGGTATCGTTGTGTTAACTCGTAAACGGTTATCAGGAATCTTCCTTTAACCATAAAAGCAACATAATCTGCTACTATCACATCACTATCAGCGCATTTATGTTTTAATAATAACCAACGATTACCCTCCTCCGCCCAACCGACGCGAGGGCGCAATCCGATACGTGCGGAATTAGCCGATCAAAAAGGCAGAGAGATTTAAGTGTTGAGATCTAAACTGCTCGCTACAGAAACAAAAATTTCAACAGCTAAGATCTAAAGTTACAATATAATAAATTGTTACATTTTCATTTATTAAGAAAACAATAAAGTCTTTTAATTTTGAAAAGTTAGTCGAATAAGTCAAATGTGCTGGAATGAGAATTAAAATCATGACATATACGGCGGAATGGCTCGTTTAGTGTCAAAATTTGATCTACAGGATTTTATCAGAAAAGGTCTAAACTGCCTCGAAAGGCGGAGGATATTAAATTTAATT